AACAACACCCAGCAACAGCCAGTATTATGGCAACAACACCCAGCAGCAGCCAGTATTATGGCAACAACACACAGCAGCAGCAGCCAGTATTATGGCAACAACACCCAGCAGCAGCCAGTATTATGGCAACAACACAGCAGCAGCAGCCAGTATTATGGCAACAACACCCAGCAGCAGCCAGTATTATGGCAACAACACCCAGCAACAGCCAGTATTATGGCAACAACACCCAGCAGCAGCCAGTATTATGGCAACAACACACAGCAGCAGCAGCCAGTATTATGGCAACAACACCCAGCAGCAGCTAGTATTATGGCAACAACACCCAGCAGCCAGTATTATGGCAACAACACCCAGCAGCAGCCAGTATTATGGCAACAACACACAGCAGCAGCCAGTATTATGGCAACAACACCCAGCAGCAGCCAGTATTATGGCAACAACACCCAGCAGCAGCCAGTATTATGGCAACAACACAGCAGCAGCCAGTATTATGGCAACAACACCCAGCAGCAGCCAGTATTATGGCAACAACACCCAGCAGCAGCCAGTATTATGGCAACAACACAGCAGCAGCCAGTATTATGGCAACAACACAGCAGCAGCCAGTATTATGGCAACAACACCCAGCCGCAGCCAGTATTATGGCAACAACACCCAGCAGCAGCAGCCAGTATTATGGCAACAACACCCAGCAACAGCCAGTATTATGGCAACAACACAGCAGCAGCCAGTATTATGGCAACAACACAGCAGCAGCCAGTATTATGGCAACAACACCCAGCAACAGCCAGTATTATGGCAACAACACACAGTAGCAGCCAGTATTATGGCAACAACAACAAGCAGCAGCCAGTATTATGGCAACAACACAGCAGCAGCAGCCAGTATTATGGCAACAACACCCAGCAGCAGCCAGTATTATGGCAACAACACAGCAGCAGCAGCCAGTATTATGGCAACAACACCCAGCAGCAGCCAGTATTATGGCAACAACACAGCAGCAGCAGCCAGTATTATGGCAACAACACACAGCAGCAGTCAGTATTATGGCAACAACACCCAGCAGCAGCCAGTATTATGGCAACAACACACAGCAGCAGCAGCCAGTATTATGGCAACAACACACAGCAGCAGCAGCCAGTATTATGGCAACAACACCCAGCAGCAGCCAGTATTATAGCAACAACACACAGCAGCAGCAGCCAGTATTATGGCAACAACACCCAGCAGCAGCCAGTATTATGGCAACAACACAGCAGCAGCAGCCAGTATTATGGCAACAACACCCAGCAGCAGCCAGTATTATGGCAACAACACCCAGCAACAGCCAGTATTATGGCAACAACACCCAGCAGCAGCCAGTATTATGGCAACAACACACAGCAGCAGCAGCCAGTATTATGGCAACAACACCCAGCAGCAGCCAGTATTATGGCAACAACACAGCAGCAGCAGCCAGTATTATGGCAACAACACCCAGCAGCAGCCAGTATTATGGCAACAACACCCAGCAACAGCCAGTATTATGGCAACAACACCCAGCAGCAGCCAGTATTATGGCAACAACACACAGCAGCAGCAGCCAGTATTATGGCAACAACACCCAGCAGCAGCCAGTATTATGGCAACAACACCCAGCAGCCAGTATTATGGCAACAACACCCAGCAGCAGCCAGTATTATGGCAACAACACCCAGCAGCCGCCAGTATTATGGCAACAACACCCAGCAGCAGCCAGTATTATGGCAACAACACCCAGCAGCAGCCAGTATTATGGCAACAACACAGCAGCAGCCAGTATTATGGCAACAACACCCAGCAGCAGCCAGTATTATGGCAACAACACACAGCAGCAGCCAGTATTATGGCAACAACACCCAGCAGCAGCCAGTATTATGGCAACAACACAGCAGCAGCCAGTATTATGGCAACAACACAGCAGCAGCCAGTATTATGGCAACAACACCCAGCCGCAGCCAGTATTATGGCAACAACACCCAGCAGCAGCAGCCAGTATTATGGCAACAACACACAGCAGCCAGTATTATGGCAACAACACACAGCAGCAGCCAGTATTATGGCAACAACACACAGCAGCAGCAGCCAGTATTATGGCAACAACACCCAGCAGCAGCCAGTATTATGGCAAACACACAGCAGCAGCCAGTATTATGGCAACAACACAGCAGCAGCAGCCAGTATTATGGCAACAACACACAGCAGCAGCCAGTATTATGGCAACAACACACAGCAGCAGTCAGTATTATGGCAACAACACCCAGCAGCAGCAGCCAGTATTATGGCAACAACACCCAGCAGCAGCCAGTATTATGGCAACAACACCCAGCAGCAGCCAGTATTATGGCAACAACACAGCAGCAGCCAGTATTATGGCAACAACACCCAGCAGCAGCCAGTATTATGGCAACAACACCCAGCAGCAGTCAGTATTATGGCAACAACACACAGCAGCCAGTATTATGGCAACAACACAGCA